TCTCTCTCTCTCTCTCTCATGCACATACACAACCACAATCAACATGGCCAGTCGTGCACAGTAACAGGGAAGCTGCGAGGACAAATAAAAGGGGTACCCCAAACAAAGCCAAAGTAAACATCGCCAAGAAACAGATATAAACGGATCTATTGTGCTCCATGTTGCTTGCTATAGAGGTCAAACTGTTGCATTGTTGGATTGGCTCAACTTCTTGTCTGCAACAGAGGTAAAGCTGCTTCGATTTTGGATGCGCTCATCTGGGTGGAACGGGGGCTATTGTGGTGAAAAATCTATAACACGCACACACACACACACACACACACACACGCACACACGCACACATGCAGACACACACACACAGGGGGTCGGTGCGTTCTTGCTGGAGCAGTCTTCTGTCTAAGGTGTCTCATATCTTCTTCCTCCTCTTTGGCAGTGACACGAGTGTGTAGTTTGAGATGAACGTCGGGAATGCCAATGCTGTTATAGTTGCTTGTTTTTGGTAAATGAGTTTTTTGGTTTTGTGGGCCGATGCGGAAGACTCTCCAAGTTTTTTCGGACCTTTGACAGGGTTGGGTCGGTGCCTTCTTGCAGGAGTAGGCTTCTGTCTTAGTAAGTTCCCTTCTGCCCTCCATCCCCTTATGCTTTGAAATATATATGTATACATATGTATATGACATATGTGCAAGTGTGCCACTTTGGCGGCAGACGGGTGTGTGGGCAGTTGGCGCTGAACCACACAAACGTGGCCAACCTTGCATTTTCTATTATATTGCCAATCTATACCTTTTCGTTATGGATGGCTTGTGGTGATTTGTGAAGGGAATGAGAGAGAGAATCTGGGGTTATTTAAAACAACACACACACACACACACACACACACACACACACACACACACACACACACACACACACACACACACACACACACACATACACACACATACATCTGTGGTTGGTAACACCCTCCTCCCTTGCCCGTTTCTCCCCTTTTCTCTTTGCCTGTCTGCCGTTTCTGAACTGTTTTCCCTTTCCTCTGGTAAAGAACTCAATCTACTCAGGCAACCATGCAGCTCACACGTGGCCTCTTGTGCTCACAATATGACGGCACACTTCACCTGTGTTCACCTATGTCTTCCTGCATTCCTGCATTTCGAGGAAGGCTCTTCGGTATGGTTCTGTCGACCTGCACTCAGCATGGCAAATTGCGTTCGGAAATAGCGAGAACACGAGCTTCGTGTAGGCTTACATTGGCTGTCGGGTTCATTATTACGACTCCCTGCTGTTGCTGGCAGTGCGCTGCTTACACGTGGAATGAATGTGTTTTATATCTCTTTTTTTTGTTTTCTGTCTCTCTGCTTCGTGAACAGGGTTCAAATTCTCACTGAAAGAAGTCGAAGACGAACACGGAGAATCCCTTGAGTACAAATTTCTCAGCAGTGGTGTCGCACCGAAAGGCGATCTCAATGAGCTGCTGTTCACCACTTTCAGGGTTAATCCAGCAATTGGAGGACAAGTTCTGCGTCTCCTCTTGCCAGTGCTTGATGAAGCTTCTGCCAAATCATAAGCAGTCAGTTGTAATCGTTAAGTTTCTTTTCATATCCCTCTGTTCTTCTTTTTTATTAGTTATGCCTCCCATCATGCAGGGAGACATGTAGAAAATTTGAAGCTGTCACAGGCATGACATCAAACTTCTGTTGATGTATCTGTTTGTAGGCTAACATGTACAAAATCGTTTGTGGCGGCCAAATTTCAAGTTTTGGGCCTAAGGAACAGGAGCAGAAGCCAGGGTGGGTAGGGGAGGCCCACGGGCGTTGGGGAGGATGGGGTGAAGTTGTTGATGCAGGCAACAATATGTGTTCATCCGTCGAAGAGAAAGGCGTCAGAAGATTGGCAGACCGTGCCTGGCACAGTCGCTGACCAGGGCGTCTAGTCTTGTCTTCGCAAGGCTGCACGAGGAGTGCGGACATGAATAAGGTGGCGAGGAAATAAACTCTTGTGGTTCAAGGAAGAGTGCTTGCACTGTTCGCAAGAGCTTAGCAAGACCTTGCCGCTCAAGGAATGAATGGTACTTGTCATTCTCCATCCCTGCATCATCTGACACCGTGCTCACATTTTTTATAACCTTCCGTTCTCCCTCTTCACCTGTCCTTCCGCTTATCCCTTTACATCTTCCTTTGGCTCCTTTTCCCCTCTCCTCTCCATGAGTTCCCCTTGTGATTGGCTCCCTGCTCAGGTTTCTTCTTGCCTTCCACTCTCCCCTCTTCGTGTGTCCTTCAACTTAAGCGTTTACATCTTTTTTTCGGCTCCTTTTTCCCTCTCCACAAGCCCACCCCTTGCGATTGGCCATGCAGGATCATGTGAATGTATAGCGCACCGGCAGGTGTTCATAGTATGTATTTTGTGAGAACTTGAGGGGTGGCTTTGGAGAAGTTTTCGAAGCAGTTGTTAGCTTCTTACCCATGAAGAGGTGGAGAATGTCGTTGCTGTCGTGAAGCCATTTGTTCCCCTCCCCTCCTCCTCCCCCCTCCCCCCCCCGTCTCCTTAAACACAAAATCAATGAGCTAATCCTTGGAAGGCCCTTTTGTTCTTGCAAATGGGGTGATACGGAGCCAATCTGTTTCCAGGTAAATGCTTTGGCCCTCCCAAACTCAAGCCAAGAAGTGTACTAAGTGTTTGTGAGGGAGGGATGGCAGCCGCTGCCCAGCTGTTCGTGCCAGTCGTCTCCTTCTACTCACTCAAACATCATTACAGAATCTAATACAGATTTATGTTATACGCTCTAAACTTTGCAGACTTATTTCCTTGAAACAGTCGTACACGTCACCAACTGCTTATGATAAAGTCATCAACCAGAAGCAAGAAGCCCAACCCCTTGAAGGCAGCTGTCATCACATAGTGGCTATGAATATGCTACCACCTCATCAGGTCCTCATGCACATTCCCGAATCCCCTCTCTTTTTCTTTGTTTTTGTTCAAACTTCAAAGCTGTAAACCTGTTCTTCTTTAACCTTATCCTAACCCTTTTTTTTGCATAGTTTGATTGTCTGGAACCCTTGAAGCAATTGTTCTTCATCTCTTGCCCTGCATAAGAGGAATTCAAAAGCTGAGAAAATTAGCCAGTTTATTTTGAGCAGTGAATTTTGGTTCCTCTAGAAGCTTGTTTAAAATTAAAAAAGAAAAAAAAAAGAAAAAATCCTTGACATCTTCTCGGCCGCGCAGAAACACTCTGAACCAGTGGAGACTGTGGAGAAAGATCAGTAAGGCGCACGTTTTGTGGCTCTTATACTTGCCAACTTGAATGAACCTATCTGTCGATTTGAAACAAGGCGGCAATCGTTGATGAAAAGCTGAAGACAGTAGGGCAACAAGGAAGGGGTAAAACCGTAAAAGGTCTTGAACCCCACACACGGCAACATTCTTTCATGCTGTGCTGTTTCTTCCTCTGCCCGTTTTCATTAAGTGGGTGTGATTTGCCAGGTTGGCGATTTGTGCATGGCACACCTGCATGTGGGGGGCGATGCTCCACATTTTCATCTGGCATGCATCTCATCCCACGATGGATTTGCAGGACCATGATAGACCGTTAGTAATACAAAGTATAATATATACGAAACAGTTTGTCACAGCCCCTCGTTTGTTGTCTCCTTCTCCCTCTCTGCCTACGGTTTACCGGGCAGCTCTGTTTGACAATATATCAAACAATGGCAGATGCGGCAGGTTTTGAGTTCGCTAAGGCAAAAAAAAACACACGCCCGCAAAGATATCACGGCGTGAGTTTGACACGGCAATTTGGGTAGAAAATAATCCGTTGGGCTTTGTTTTTTGTTTTTTTTCTTTTCCCGTCTGACACCACAGCCGACCCCTGTAGTTACGACACCCAGCCTGACACCACGGCCGTTGGTACTTTCATTGCTTTTTCGAACTCAGCGCCTGTTTTCTTTGCCGGCACGTGTTTCTTTTGCTCATTCGATATTCAAAAGTGACATCAACGTACTTGCAGGGCAGGCCAGGATGGGGC